CGTGGGAGGGGTGGGGGTGGGTTAAGGGGTTGGGGTCGTCATATATGGAAATGTGTGTTCATCGAAAACAACGTGGCGGGAGACAATGATTTTATTCATTTGAAGGTCAAGGCATCTATATCCGCGTTGGTTCGAGGGATAGCCTAGGAAGATGCAGCGGGCAGAGCATGGTGTAAGTTTGTGTGGAGCAGTGGCTGAGATGTTGGGGTATTAGAGACAGCCAAAGACGTGAAGGTGGGAGTAGTGGGGAGGTGAGTTGTAGAGAACGGAGTGAGGAGTGTGGTTGTTTAAAGTAGTGGTGGAGAGTATGTTGAAAAGATGGGCAGCCATGTAGAGGGCTTCTACCTAGAATTCAAGGGGGAATTGGGCTTGGAATTGGAGGGAGCGGACGGTGTTATTGATAGTGCAAATGGTACGTTCGGCACATCCATTTTGTTGACTAGTATGAGGGCAAAAGAAGCGGAAAAGAATGCCTAAAGAGTTAAAAATATTTTTAAGAGGTGAGTTTCTGCATTCAGTTCTGTTGTCACATTGAACAACTTTGATTGCTGTGTTAAAATGATTTTTCACATATGCAACAAAAGAATTTAAGTGAGTAAAAACATCACTTTTATGTCATAAAGGAAACACCCACAAGTAATGAAAAAAATCATCAAACAGCAACATATAGAATTTAAAACCAGTCACACTTGGCACAGGTGATTGCCATAAGTCTGTATGCAAAAGTTGAAACGGAAAATAAAAAACACGACTAGAAGAGTAAAATCGGAGGCACACATGCTTTCCTAAATGACACACATGACAAAGAGTTTGTTGATAATTTGTAAGTAAAGATAAATTGTGAGGGACTCCGCGAAGGACTGCAGGGCTTGGGTGGCCGAGACGATGATGCCAGGTTTGATGATCTACGAACGAGACATGAGCTTGGGCAGGTGCTGGTTAGCCTACAGGGTAGAGGGGACCCACATTATTGGACCGATGCATCATGGTCCCCATCTGACGTCCTTCACAGAAAAACCATGATCATCAAATTCAACAGTGCAGTTGTTATCACGAGTGAGTTTGCGAACAGAGATAAGATTGTGTGTGATATGAGGGGAAACTAGGACATTATGTAAGGAGAGGGGAGAGGTGGTGGGGAGGGTGTGGTGACCAACCGCCATAGTGCGAACTTTAGATCCATTACCAACAGTGATATAGTGAGGTGAATATAAAACTTGAGAAGAGACATTAGAAAGAATACCTATATTTGAGGCAATATGGTGTGTGGCACCGGTATCCATGAGCCATGTTGGTTCTCAGAGGGACATGGTGTCAAAGTTGTGGGCTAGGGCTGTGGGTGTGGGGGGTAGGGGGTGGGTATGTTGCGGGTTGGGTTTGTTGGGGGTTTCCGTGGGGCTGGGGGGTACGATAACGGGTAGGGGGAGAGGGATGGGTAGGGGGACGGGTTTGGGGGTGGGTGGGTATGTAATAGCTAGGCATGGTCATGATAGGGGTAGGGAGCGGGAGTGGGCCGGGGGCCCAACACCCCGGGGCTAGGGTTTGGGTAAGGTGAGTTCCAGGAACTTTGGACGTTCGTTAGTGGTCATTGTCTCGAACTGCCGTTTGACACCCTCGATCACAACCCCAGTTGTCGTTGTCACGCCCTTGTCCGCGTCCACAACCAACACGCTGTCCGTAGGAAGATCCATCGCCAAAATTGCTGCCAAGAGAGTGTCCCCCACTGCCGCCATGAGGAGCGCCACGGCTGCCGCCCCCACCGTGCTGACCGCCGGCGAAACTGCCAGTGTCCCGACCCGCCAGCAGCACCGTGCTGTTAGTTCCGCCCAGGGGAGTCTGCTGCCGATCGAGGAGGAGGAGGGCTGACCGCACCTGAAGAAAGCTCGGCATGGGATCTTGAAATTTGAGAAACGAAGTCTGAGCATGAAGATCGTCGGGGAGGCCGCGTAGCTTCTGGAGGATCAATTGGTGCTCTGACACGGGGGCGTCGACGTCGTCCAACCAATCCGCAATATTTCTGAATTCTTGACAATACGTGGCCATGGGAGTAGATCCTTTGACGGTGGTGCGAAATTGATGCTCGAGTGGCATGGCGCGCGCATGTTTGTTGTCGTGAAACAAGTCATGGATCACCGTCCAGAGAGCAGAAGTAGTAGAAACAGAGGAAAGAACTAGAACAGAAACCTCATCAGTGATGGTGGAGAGAATCCAACCCTAGAGGATGGCATCAAGCTGGAACCATTCATCGTCGTCGTCGGAGATGGGGACGATAGAGCCGTTGAGATAACCCTGAAGATTGAACTGCCGTGCAAGGAGAAGGAACAAGCGGCTCCACTTTTTGTAGTTTGGTTGAGAGAATGTGAGTTGTATAGGGACATGGAGTTTAATGTTTGAGACGGAGAAAGCCAGATGTGGAGGTTTTTGGGTGGAGGATTGAGAGGTGACCTCACTATCAGCCATTGTAGGGAAGGGGAGAAGCTGCCGGCCGAAAGAGGAGGAAGGAGACGGCGACGCTGGTGGTTCGGCGTAGGGAGGAGGCCGAAATTAGGGGAGAATATTTTAGGGTTTTTAGTTTGGCTCCGATACCATGAAGAATTGTATTTTCATTGATAAATTATGTGAGGAGTACATGTTTATATAAAAAAGTCTGATCTAATCTGAATCAATTTGATCTGATATGAATGAATCTGATCCGAACTGAATGGATCTAATCTATATAGATTTGATCTGAATGAATCTTATTCAAATTCATATTCAAATAGTAATTATTATTATTATTATTATTTAAATTTAAATTTAATTTCAAATTAAAATAATAATAATTTGATTTTGAATTTACTTTATTATTATTATTAATTATTATTGTTATTATCATTATTATTATTATCTAAATAAGAATTTGAAGTCAAATAACAATAATACTACCCCCTCCGTCTGGAAAAAACCTTCCCATTTGGACTTTTTCTCATTTTTTTGAATGGTTGACTTATGAGTTGAAATGGCTAGCCCCCACCGCCATCAATCATTCCTCAAATTTATGAGGAATTTAAACCTCCATCAATCATTCCTCAAATTTATATTATTTTGAGAGAAAATTATTTGTTTTTAAGAGAGGTTTCTTGTCATCCATTAGAGCAAAACATTTTCTCATTCCTACTCTTTTGAGAGCTATTGTTGAGAGCTTGAAGAAGATTGTTCTTCTTGTTGTTCAAGACTTATGTGACTTAAGTCTTGGTTGTGAAGTCTTGAAGAGGGCATATCTACGAGCGGTTGTGTCGAGGCTTGTGGGATTCAAGTTCTCGAGTTGTAAACGGTTTGTTAAGCACCGGAAGTAGTGGTAGCTTCGAGAGAGTCTTTCGGGGAACTGAACTAACCACAAGGTGGTGAACCAATATACATCGGTGTGTTCTTTGCCTTCTCTCTTTTATTTCCGCTGCACTTACGTTTATATTATTAAACCTGCAAAAATCGGTAATCATTCTCAACAACTCTATTCACCCCCCTCTAGAGTTCCACGCCTTGTCTAACAATTGGGTCTCCTTCAAGTTCCTCATCAAGCTCGTCATCGTTTGGGGAGCTTGAGAGGGTGTAAGACTCGTTGGTGTCGTAACCAGCGTAGTCTTGACCAAGGAAGGTGGATTGGTGTTTCGGGGGCACGTAGTTGATGCGGTCAAAGTAGGCTTGCATGGCATAGCCTCGACGTTGGACCGCTGCGTCAATCTGCTCAATGGTGCTCCCCATTCCTTCGACAGTGAGGCTCAAGCGGTTGATGGAGTCGGTGATGGAGGCAAGGGTGGAACGACTGGGGGCTGTAGGTTGGTGTGTGGCAGGGGCGCTGGTCTCCGACCTTTTCTTGAAGGTTTGGTCATGGATGGTCCAAAGCTTCGTGGGCCGAGTGATAGGCCCATGGGAGACGGCAACTTGGGCCCACTTAAGGATCTCCGTGATTAAGAAGGCATAGGGTAGAATTCGATCGTTGGTGATGGTGGCGGCGTCGGTCATGTACAACATCACGAGCTTTGCCCAATTGATTGGTGCCATGTGCATGATGGTGTGGATGACCTTAAGATCCTCGCATAATATTGTGGTATTGCTGCCATACCACAATATTATGGCTTCTAGGACTTGAGGATTCGGGTGATTATGCAGATATGCAGTCAGCTTTCCGGAGTAGCCGAGTGAATGGTGGGATGACCGGTGGGATGCCGAACAAGTTCGGTGATGCCTAACAAGTTCGGTGATGCCTAACTCCTCGATGACCAACCCTTTGTTGCTGATCACCTATTCTTCTCCGCCATAATTGGATATGCCAAAACCTTGATAGGGCAGCCCGACAATGCACCCAACCCTCTCCACGGTGAGATCGATCATTATGTTCTTGAATCCTTGTGTAGAGAACGTCACCTTCACGTCGAAGGTTCGAGTAGAAGGCCCGAACCAGTGCTGGGTTGATGTCCTTCCAGGACTTAAAGTTGAACGACCAAAGTCCAGGTTGGTGGAGATGAGCATCAAGCGTGTCATAGCACTTTTGCTCCGGGTACCTCTCCGGGAGGATTCGTGGAGGTGCCACTGCCCGCTTGGCAAAGTGCATGAGGAACCGGGTAAGCTCCTCCTCACTGTTGAACCACTAGAACGACCCGTCCAAGTAGGCCTAACTGGTTTTAGCCGGAGTCTTGGTCTTGGATTTGCAGGTAGCCTCTGCCTTGGACTTGTTTTTGCCCATTTTTGCAGAATTTTGAGAAAGAATTGGAGAAATTGAAGAGATGTGCCTATATGATCAAGAAAAATGAAAGTGTGTGAGTAGAAATGGTACATGAAGGTGGGGCATTAAATCTTGTCTCCAACAGTTAATTTTTTTTAAGATAGCGCCAGAACACTGATGTTTAGTCTGCAACATCGATGTTCTGTTCTAAACATTGCTGTTTTACGATAAATTTTAAAATTTGTAAAAATAACATCGATGTTCACAACTAAACATCGTTGTTTGAAAAACATTATGGAAAGGAATGAATACACATGTACTCTTTGTAACATCAATGTTGGACATTTAACATCACTGTTAATAAAACTTTCTGGAATATTAAAGCGCATTGGCTGCCATTAACATCGATGTCGCAAAGTCAACATCGTTGTTACTAAAAGTTTCTGGAATGGCGTGGTTCCTTGCATCATCGTTGTAGGCTTCCTGATAGCGATGTTGCAACAACGATGTTTGCTCCAAAACATCGTTGTTTGTGTGGTTTCCTCCGATTTTTACGATGTTTGCTTCGGGTACCTTCAAAAAAGAGTTAAAAGAGCCTCCGACTCTCAAGTTAGTAAAAATTTAAGAAGATTTAAATGCTCAAAATACATCATCGTGGAGTCTAGAATTCCGAGTTCGCTTCAAATGTGAAAAAATGATTCTTTCTCTAAAGGTTTTGTAAAAATGTTGGCTAATTGATACTTTGTTCCAATGAACTCAATTTTGACATCACCTTTGAGAAGATGATCTCTTATGAAATGATTCCTAATATCAATGTGTTTCGTCCTTGAATGAAGAACATGGTTCTTAATCAAGCTTATGGTGTTATTATTATCACATAGAAGAGGGACACGATCGAAACTAAGGTCATAATCCACAAGTGGTTGCTTCATCCAAAGGATTTGAGCATAACATTTCCTGGAAGAAAGGTATACCGCTTTGATTGTGGGAAACGCAACACTGATTTACTCCTTACTAAACCATGAAACTAAGGAACTACCAAGCAAGTGGCACGTCCCGCTCATACTTTTACGGTCTAACTTCCAACCGACAAAGTCCGAGTCGGAGTAGCCAACGAGAAGATAAGAAGAGCCTTTTGGATACCATAGTCAGATGTTAGCCGTACCAACAAGGTATCTCATGATCCGTTTAATCGCTATTAAGTGTGATTCTTTCGGACATGATTGATACCTAGCGCAAAGGCATACACTGAACGTAATATCCGACCGACTAGCAGTAAGATAGAGAAAGTATCCGATCACACCTTGATATTTGTTGACTTCTACCTCCTTATCTTTCTCGTCTTTGTCAAGATGGTCCGATGTGCTCATAGGTTTCGCCATAGCCTTGGCGTTTTCCATTTGAAAACGTTTCAATAATTCCTTAGCTTGCAGTACTTGGATTGGCAAATGAAGGTTCTCTCTTTCATTGGCTTGACTTGTAAGCCCAAGAAGAATGTAAGCTCGCCATCATAGACATCTCAAATTCGTTCGTCATTAGCTATCTCTCTTTCGAAAAGAGCTGGCGCTAGAGCCAAATATTTGCATGGGAATCGAACACATCTTTTTGAGAGAGAGGAAATAATGTGCATGTGCTTGATCCAATTTATATAAAAGTTGAAGTAAAATTAAATTCAAAATGCATGATCATTCATATATTAAAAAAGTTTAATTTATTTTTCATAAAGTGCGAATAGTTAATTGCACCAGGACTCGACTCTTAGGACCCATGCCTCTTACAAATTTCTGGATCCGCCACTCAACTTAGGGTGAAAATATATTATAGGCATTAATTACAAACAATTTGGTGCTCATTGTAACATAACTATAAGTAAGGAGCTAGCTAGCTAGGATCGATGTTTAGTCTTCGGGAGTCCACCCTCGTCCTTCCTCAAGGGGCTTGCGATCTATACATATTTATATACATATACTACGTGTATATATATACTCCCTCCGTCCCGTAAAACATGGGAGTTTTGCTTTTTAGGAGGGAATTAAGAAGAATGTATTTTGGTATTAAATTTCCAAAAATGTCCTTTGATGTGATGGGTAAAAGTATGATTTGATGGATAGATTATTAGTAAAAAGGTATGATGTGATAGATAGGGTATGAAAAAGTAGGGGGTAAAGTGACTTTTTAATAGAAATGAGAAGTATTTTTTGGGACGGATAAAAAAAGAAAGGAGAAAGGTTTTATAGGACGGAGGAAGTATATATATATATATAAGCATCCCTAGTATTTTCTATCTTAGTCTTTGCTAGGAAGCTATTATTGCTTCTCAACAACTAGCAGCAAGCAAGTCCAGAAAAGGAAAGGAAAGAAATGGAGAGATATTTGAGCGTAGGGCCAGGTACCCCATTGACAAAGGTGGTGATCCCCTTGGTTCACCTGCTAGCCATGTACGCCCCGTTTTGTTTCAGTTGGGATGCCGTTGGGCTCTGGTTTGTGTTGTACATCCTCACCGGCCTGGGAATCACCCTCTCCTATCATAGGAACTTGTGTCACAAGAGTTTCAAACTTCCCAAGTGGCTCGAGTACATGTTTTCCTATTTGGGTGTTCAAGCTCTTCAGGTTTGAATTATATTAATTCATTCTACTTTAATATCTCCATTATTGCCTACTGCACCTAATTAATATTTTCTCCTTCCCAAATTTAATTAAAAATTCGAATTTATGAGGCAAATTTCTCATATTTTAAATTTTTTTTTACAAATTGGAGTATCGATAAAAAATAAAAATTACTCCCTCCGTCTCAAAAAGTCCGACACGTTTCGAAAAAACTGCGTCCCGAAAAGTTCGTTACATTTCTATTAAAAAACCACTTTTACCCCTTACTTTTTCATACCCTACCTATCACATCATATCTTTTTCCTAATAATTTACCCATCACATCCTACTTTTATCCATCACATCAAGGGTATTTCTGAAAATTCAACACCAAAATATCCTCCCTTAATTTCCCAAAAAGTCAATATGTACCTATCTTTTTGGGACGGAGGGAATATATCTTAAAAAACTACGTCAATATAGTTTTACAAAATAAGAGGTGATAAGAATATTTTATTTTATCAAATAATCAATGAAAATTTACAAATAAGTAAAAATTATCGAGAGGTGAAAAAAAAATTGTTATCAAATCTGGAATGGAGGGGTATTACCTATGAGTTCATTTTTAATTTTGAGGTGTTGTCTTCCACAACACTCGCCACCGCATGTGGATTTTGGTGGTAGTGATTAGTTGCATGGAAAGGCAGTCAGTGAAGTGGGTGATGGCTATAAGTTTAATCCTTGTGGCATGCTTGAAAAAGAAAAAAAAAATGGAGATAAATTATCATCATATTATATATTATACTCTCTCCGTCCCATAAAGTGTTACCCATTTTGACTAAAGTTGAAATTAAGGGAGGGATAATTTTGTGTTGACTTTCCAAAAATACCCTTGATGTGATAGGTAAAAGTAGGATGTGATGTGTAGATTATTAGGGAAAATGTATGATGTGATAGGTAGGGTTTGAAAAAGTAAGGGGTAAAAGTGGTTTTTTAATAGAAATGGGTAAAGGATTGTGGGACACAATTTTTTTGAAACGTGTAAATCTTTTTGGGACGGAGGGAGTATATTATTATTAATTTATTCTTAGTTTTATTACTTATTATTATTATTATTATTATTATTATTATTATTATTATTATTATTATTATTATTATTATTATTATTATTATTATTATTATTACTCCGTATTATTATTGCAACCAGATTTTAGGGTTCTTTGTTCGGATAGAATATATGCTAATTTAAGAATAAGCGGTAGTCCTCTTTGAATGAAACATTTATTCGCGTACTTTAACCCAACAATGTTTTGTCTTCATAATACTCCTTCCGTCATTAAATATTTGCCACGCTAAAATATCAAGTTTTTTAAATTCATTTTGTTTACATATTGGTATAGAAGTAAAAAATAAAATTTACATATCAAAAAACTACATGAAATATTCTTCGAAATAAGAAGTGTCAAGAATATTTTATTTTAACAAATAACCAATGAAAACGTCGAAATAAATAAAAGTTCTCGCGCTGCTGAAAAAACAAATGTGGAAAATATTTAGGGACGGAGAGAGTACTATACTCTCCATCTTAAAATGATATTCTCATTTAATATTTTTATTATCAAACTTAATTTTTTTTCCTATTTTTCATTTGTTATTTGATAAAATAAAATAGTCCTATCAGCTCTTATATTGTAGAGCTTTTGATTTAATTTTTTAATATGTAATTTTTTATTAATAATTTTACACTTATAATAAAATAAATTGAATTGAAAATAATTTCAGTCAAACATTTAAACTGAATTGGGAAGATAAGGACGAAGGGAGTATCCGAGTATCTCTTTAATAATATACCCATTTCGCCTTAATTAACGCAAGATAACAACTTATTTACCTCATTAACGTGGTTTGGTTCTACGCTTCGAGTCATTCACAAAAAAAAAAACTCTTAGACGAGATTCATCTTTTTTCTTTTTATACAGGGGGACCCGATTGGTTGGGTGAGCACCCATAGACACCACCACAAGTACACGGATTCATTGAAAGATCCTCACAGCCCCAACGATGGTTTTTGGTTCAGTCACATGGGATGGATCTACGACACTAAAAACGCTGACGAAAGGGTACGTTACATTTATTTATGTAAATGAGACTTAAACATATCAATTTTCACTAAATAGGATCAATTCTATCTATTCTAACGTTTGACAATTGAAAGTTCTAAAATGTCATGCTTTGAAAAAAATGATATATTACACAATTCAAGTTGAATAAGACATTATTAAAAACATATTAAATAGTAATTAAAATAATCAGTCATTATACAACACTTATTGCCAATGACCATATTCGCAGAGTCATTCGTATAATCAGTCATTATCTAACACTTCTTGCTAATAGAAAACATACTACCTCCGTCCCAGAGTATTTGTTCACTTTCATTTTTACACACCATCCAATGCACTTCTTTAATCCATTTTATCTTGTAATTTGTATATTAAAAAATTATAGAAATTATATATTTTATAATCTATATGTTAAGACAAATCAAACAAGATCACACATGACTATATTTAGACTTACACATTGAGAGAATTTGATTAGTCAAAGTGCTTAGATGAACAGTTCCAACGGTCAAAACTGGACGAATACTCTGGGACGGAGGAAGTATATGACAGATCATGTAGAATTATATGTTATAAATGGAATAAAACATATTTTTTCATATTCAGAAAAATATACTCCGCATTATCTTTTAGTCTTATATGGAGCAAGTTTGTCCTTTTTAAAATTACTTCCTGCTTTTTTCCCTTGTTTTTTGGGTCGTCTTGACTTTTTTATTTGCCTTTCACACTATTTTCCTTTTTAGATCCTCTTTAATTTTCTATACCACGTTACCACCTAGTAATTTTTTTCTTATACTCCCTCCGTCCCACTATCTTTGTCCACTTACCTTTTGGCACACCATCTAATGCACTTCTTTAATCCATTTTATCTTGTAATTTGTATATTAAAAAATTATAAAAATTATATATTAATAATCTATATGTTAAGACGAATCAAACAAGATCACACATGACTATTTTTAGGCTTACGCATTGAGAGAATTTGATGAGTCAAAGTGATTAGATGAACAGTTCCAAAAGTCAAAACTGGACAAAGACAATAGGACGGAGGTAGTAAAGAGTAACAAGTCAATATTAAAATAAAGAAAGATATCGTGACAAAAGGAATACTATTATTCTCAATAGTACTTAACAATTAAATTCGATATCTTACTCAAAGTCAAAGTACGTACCATTTTCTTAAAAGCAGAGCTTAGGTATAGTACTCCTTTTATACGCACAATTTACACTTGACGTTATTCATTTTTTGAAAGCTGGGTGGTTATTCACCAATGTTTGGGAGAGGGAAAATAAGTGTTGAAGAAAAATTATGGGTGAAAAATGGAGGGACTAGATATATTGCCTTTAATTAGGAAGGTAAAGGAAAATAAGTGAAGAGAAAAAATATCAAATACTTTTATTTTTTCTTAAAATGGTAAATTTAAAAAATAAACAATTCTAGATCCATCCTACTAATTAGAAGGCAAAATAGACTTATTTTTGTTCCATCCTAAAATATCAACTACTTTCGTTTCAGAGTATTTGTCGAGTAATTTTAAGTTTTGAAATTTATATTGATACATTTTGACAATTAATTAAATAAAATTTATACTTCGTATTAAATGTTGATACAAGCATAATTTAATAAGTTTTTTATTGTGAAATATTTTCAAAGTATTATTAATCTTAATTAATATACAATGTAACTTTTATTTAATTATAAGTAAGAAACGGATCTTGATTGACTATATACAAAAAATTTAAACATGACCAGTACTCCCAAGGGAAGGTAGTAAACACCAAAAGAGAACATAATTTAATACCGGAGTATTCCTTTACCTAATTTTCTAATTTTATTTTTTTCCCTCAAATATTATCCAAATACAGGATTTTTACTAGTGAAATGTTTTGTGCAGAGGAATAGGAAGCCATCAAATGTAGGGGACTTGGAGAGCCAGGCGTTCTATATGTTCATCCAAAAGACCTACATTCTCCACCCTATTCTACTTGGAGCTTTCCTGTATTCCTTGGGAGGATTTCCTTACATTGTTTGGGGCATGGTATATAGATACATTTTTAATTATTCTTTTATATATATATATATATATATATATATATATCTGTGTGTGTGTATTGTTATTGATTTTATCTACTAATAATAACAGGGAGTAAGGATTGTATGGGGGTTCCATGTAACATTTCTTGTGAATTCTGCGTGTCACATTTGGGGAAGCCAAGCATGGAACACCAGCGACTTATCCAGAAACAATTGGTTTGTCCAATTAATTACTTTATCAATTATTCTAGTTTTTTTTTTTTACAATTAAATCATTTCACAATGCTCCGTAAGATTAAAGTATCTTTGAACATTTTAATCATATGATAAAATAAATTAAAAATAATTTCAGTCAAACAGACTAAATCAAAATAGAGCAAAATTAAACTTTTTATAAAATTGTAAACCAAATGAGAGTATTTTATATATATATATATATATATATATATATATGAGATGGAGTCATAAATGAAAGAAATGGGCGCGCAGGATGGTGGCGCTGGTGACATTCGGGGAAGGGTGGCACAACAACCACCACGCCTTTGAGTACTCGGCGAGGCATGGGCTGGAGTGGTGGCAGCTCGACACGGCTTGGTGCACTATTTGGGTCCTCCACAAGTTAGGGCTGGCTACAAGTGTGAAGCTCCCCACAGATGCCCACAAGGCAAAGATGGCTTTCAATCATAATAATAATGAAATCAACGGCGGCGGCACCACATCGTCAATAATGTCTGCTTTCCCAGCTGCCATTCCTCCTCCTCCTCCTCTTCGTCCGCTCCTCAAATAGAGCGCTAACGGGAAACTGTGTATACTTATTGCGTAGTTATTGTACGTGCTAGTTTTCTACATTAATGTTTCCCACTCTAGCTCCCAACTCCCCTTTGGATCTTTTTTTTACTTTTCACCCTACTAGCTCCTGCATGTGATCTCAAAATAAATGTCATTTGTCGTCTATCTGTACTGTTTTGTGTTGATCTATCCAATGGCAGATTAAATTATAAGCTACTCTCATGCCCAATGCTCCTTACTCCCCTCCCTTTTGTTGGGATTTTAAGCGCGTAAGATACCGAAAAAATATTCAGAATGCCAGAAAAATGAAAGAACAAACACAAGAAAAATATATGAGAGAAAAAATTATATTTCCACTATTTCAGAACAATATACAAAAAACTCTCCCCTGTTTACAAGGCTAAATTCCCGACACTCATAAACAGATCTTTCCACATCTTATGCCCAAATGTATTTTTCCGAGTAACTAAAACCAGTTACTCCCTACACTCACCCACACTCACCAAGACCCCTTGAATTTTCCCGGTGGTATTCTTGTGTAGAATTCCTCCCATTTTCTCTCTCTACCTTGGTGGTGTGTAAAACCCACACACACAAATACACCGTAGCCTCTCCATTTTAAAGGGCAAGGAGAACACAACTATTTGCCCCAATCAATTTGATACAGGAGAGAACATAATCACATGCATACTTCCACCTTTTTAACTCCACTCATGGAGTACTTTTGCTTTCCCTTTCTCAGGATCCTTTATTTTTCTTTTTGATTTTTCTTTTCTTTCTTTTTTTTTCTTTTCTTTTTCTTTTGATTAATTAATCAAATTTCCCAACAAACTCCACCTTGATTAAATAATAAAAAAAAAAGCTTTGTAGCTCCACCTCACTTCTCCAGTGAGATCACCGCTACTCCGAAAAAAATCCTTGGCGCCATCTCAGTGTGCTCCACCGAGATCACCGCTGCCAACCTCAAAGAAAATCCTCATGGCTCCACCTTGGTCCAACCACCAAGGTCACTACCACTATAAAAAAATTCATGAATCTATCTTGCTCAAGTCCACAAGATCTCCACAACCATGTGTTGCCTTCGTGGCTCCACCTTGCTCAATACCACAAGATCCCCCACCACTTCCAGTTACCGTTGAAACCGTGACTCCACCACAACCAACCCCGTCAAGATCTTTGTCACTGCCTTAGCTCTTTAGAGTTTTAACCCTCCACCCCGAGCTAAAAAAATAAAAACTCACCTTTGTTAACACTTTCTGAGACCACCCCTCTAGCAATTAGCTTCTTTTGATCTGCCCATCTTGCACCGCCACAGCAACACCTGCGGAACACACCGCCCGACCTCTTCTTACCGGGAAGACTTTCGATACAAGACTTAAACCGCAGTTTTCTACTCTGCTAGACCACCGATCTCCTCTAGTTCTGTTCCCGCACCATACTTCTCAAAGCCAGCATGCCGCTTCGTACCCGGTCCTCATGCCATCCACTTTGTTCTTGAAGTCCCATGGTCGCCCTCTGGCCAAAACGAACAAGTCCCTGGTTCTCAAAATTTCTCCTTTTACCGCTTACAAATCCCTCTTGCCCAGCGCAACCAAGCTCTGATACCAATTGTTGGGATTTTAAGCGCGTAAGATACCAAAAAAATATTGAGAATGCCAGAAAAATGAAAGAACAAACACAAGAAAAATATATGAGAGAAAAAAATTATATTTCCACTATTTCAGGACAATATACAAAAAACTCTCCCCTGTTTACGAGGCTAAATTCCCGACACTCATAAACAGATCTTTCCACATCCTATGCCCAGATGTATTTTTCCGAGTAACTAAAACCAGTTACTCCCTACACTCACCAAGACCCCTTGGATTTTCCCGGTGGTATTCTTGTGTAGAATTCCTCCCATTTTCTCTCTCTACCTTGGTGGTGTGTAAAACCCACACACACAAATACACCGTAGCCTCTCCATTTTAAAGGGAAAGGAGAACACAATTATTTGCCCCAATCAATTTGCTACAGGAGAGAACATAATCACATGCATACTTCCACCTTTTTAACTCCACTCATGGAGTACTTTTGCTTTCCCTTTGTCAGGATCCTTTATTTTTCTTTTTGATTTTTCTTTTCTTTCTTTTTTTTCTTTTCTTTTTCTTTTGATTAATTAATCAAATTTCCCAACACCTTTAATTCCCCCATCCTTCATAAAAAGCTTTTTCTCACACAATCACAAACTTGAGTTTTTGATTGAATTGATTTTTTGAAATGGTATAGGAGCCTTCTTGATAGTGGCGGAGGCAGGGAAGACTTCATGGAGGGCCACAAATTCATTCAAAGAATGAAAGAAAAATATCTCATACTAGTAACAACCTTAACAGACAATGTGCAACAAACATACCTCTTATTTGTGCAAAGGAGTATGTAAGATTTGTTTGGGGTCGTAGAACTTTTTTTCGATATGCCAACTTTTGAAAGCGCTGCACAATGACTTCATCATCAATGCTCATAAAACTTTCTTTCTCAAAGTAGCCAACAGACAATCTTATTGCATCTCATCTCCCAAAGGGTTGCGTTAATCAATCTTGACAACAGACCTGGACACGGTACCGGTATGGTACCATTACCGGCGACGGTATCGCCTGTACACCCACCGTCACCGGCGACCGACCCGTTGCTCCGATTCCGGGGAATCGGTACCGGCACAGCTCCCTACGGCACCGGTTTCGCTGCCCGTTTTTTGGTACCGAAAGTACCGGTACCGGTTCTGGTACCCATTTAATTTTTTTTCTTTAATGCCTCGGCAGACCACCTGCAAAAAAAAAAGAAACCATTAGTGGGGGACCCCTCAAACGGCTAGAATGTCGTTGAGGGGAAGGAGGGGGGTTGGGGGGTTAGGGCTAGGGGGAGGGGGTTATTAATACATTATAAATATAAACCTAATTTTTTTAAAATATCACACCATTCACACTCAACTCTTAAATCTCAATTTCTCATTTTCAATATATTCCTCATTTCCTCTCTAATTCTCTATTAATCCCTATTATCTCTCTTCAAGATTTATACATTTTATATTCATATAATAATATAAATATATATTAATATATTATATAATATATAAATATATACTCATATAATATTAAATTTTTAGTCATACATTCATTATTCATATAATCATATTATCATATTGTTAAAGTGTATCCCACATCGGAACTTGAAGAGAAAAAATAAATTGGTATATAAGGCAGGATTATATTACAATCCCACATCAGGAGTGCATGTCCCACATCAGGAGTACATGTCCCTGACGTCAAGGCAGGATTTTGGCTTGATGTACGAGCAGGCAAAGGAGGTGGTTAGAACCAAGGAATGTTGGAAGGCGGAGACTGATCGGAAACCTGTGAAGGTACGCCCGTTGGCGGCCAATTCAGGCAAAGTTTTTGAGGGTAAGAGACCCTCGAGTGGATTGGGGACTCAGCTGTCCAAGAGGGCCAAGTCAACGCCGACACTGTGGCCCCGAACAACAAGGGGAAGTCATCTAAGCATCCATTGTGTACGAGTTGCAACTGTTATCATCCAGGAGAGTGTTTGTGGAGTATGGGGTTGTGCCTGGGTTGTGGGCAGTCTGGCCACATTAGGAAGAATTGCCCCACAAACCCAGGGCACCTGTTTTCGACTGTGTAGGTGGCGAGCCAGGCTCAGGCTTCTCGTCCCGCGCAGAGTCAGCGTTCCACAGCTGGCTCCCATCCGTAGCATCAGCAACAACAGAGACTGTTGCAGCCGGTGGCGGCCAGGACATATGCCATGCAGGGTCGTGCAGATCCAACCCGGATGTTATCCATGGTATGTTCTCACTCTATGGTTCCGATATGTTAGCTTTGATTGACCCTGGCTCTACCTTTTCATATATTTATGTGCCTCAACCTGCTACTTCTGATGCTATGAGAAGTCGACTCGAGAGTCCAATGATGGTGTCCAATCCTTTGGGTCACAGCATGAGTTTACATTACGTCTACTGCCAATGCACGTTGACTGCACACGAGCAGTTGTTTCCCGCAGATCTGATCGAGCTTCCATATAAGGAATCTGACATCATCTTTGGTATGGACTGGATCAGTGAACACCAGGCCGTTGTTGACTGTGGTTTGAGGACCGTTCGGTTGAAAGCATCGGACGGCAATACGATCGTGTTGAACAGAGAGTTGTTGCCCTGAACGCCTCAGTTTATCTCTCTTATATATGAAAGCAAAGCGGTTGATCTGTAAGAAGTGCAAGGTGTTCCTTTGCCACGTCAGGGATGTCCGAAAAGAACCGTACCTCTAGAGTTGAAGGATATACCTTGAGTACGGGATTTTCCTGATGTGTTTCCTAACGAGCTCCCTGGACTGCTGCCTCCTAGAGAGGTGGAGTTTTCTATTGATCTAGTTCCCAGTACCAAGCCAATCTCAGTGACCCCGTACCGCATGGCCCAGTAGAGATGATGGAGCTAAAGGCTCAATTGCAAGAGTTGCTTGATAGGGGATTAATTCGTCCTAGTGTATCTCCATGGGGCGCACCAGTTCTTTTTGTACGGAAGAAAGAAGGGGCTATGAGGCTCTGTATCGACTATCGACATCTTAATAAGGCCACATTGTCAAGAATCGTTATCCGTTGCCGCGCATTGACCTATTTGACCTATTTGACCTATTTGACCAACTCTAAGGGGCGAGGGTGTTCTCCAAGATTGACTTGAGGTCGAGGTATCATCAGATACCAGTCAAGAAGGAGGACATACCTAAAGCTGCTTTTAGAACCCTTCGAGTTGACCAATGCCCCTGCTGTCTTTATGGATTTGATGAATAGTGTCTTCCAGCCGTACTTGGATCAATTCGTGGTAGTCTTCATCGATGACATCCTCGTTCACTCAAAGAATGTCGAGGAGCACGCGCGCCACTTGTAGAAGGTATTATCTATCTTGAGGGAGCAAAAACTCTACGCATAGTTGTCTAAGTGTGAGTTTTGGCTAGGGGAGGTGACTTTTAGAGGTCATGTGATCTCCGTTGAGGGAGTGAAGGTTGACCCGAGTAAGATTTTTGTTGTGGTTGACTCGAATGTTCCCCGTAATGCTAGGGAGGTCAGGAGTTTTCTCAGACTGACGAGGTATAATTGCTAGTTTGTGAAAGACTTCTCCGCGATTACTTCCCCGCTAAATAGACTGTTGCAAAAGGACGTGAAGTTTGTGTGGTCTGACGCATGTCAAAATAGCTTTGATCGTCTGAAGGAGAGTCTAACTAAGGCTCCAGAGTTGTGCTGACTCAACTACAACCTGGTTGAGATTAAATATATGTCTATCATAATTCAATGCACTTTTTATATAATTTGTATTCAAAGTTTTAAAAAGTTGACCTTGAAAGTTAAACTATGAAGATTCAAGAAAGGACGGAAGGAGTAGAGAATGGATATTATACATCTGGGTGTTCCTAGAGCTAGGAACACCCAACAAATGTTCATTTTAAATCAATGTACGTAGTGTTCATTTTTGCACATTTGTTCATTACAATTATGATATTCATTTACGAATAACATATAAAGTGTTCATTCCAAGCCTTCTCAACATAGTGCTCATTCGTAATAAATGTAGTGTTCATTCTGAAGCAAAATAGTGTTCCTTCCAGGATTGTTATCGTCAGTGGTTTGCTCGGCGACAAGAGCGACACCATTATTTCTGTTCGTCATTTCGATGGTGTGAATGTCACAGCTCCCCCCTTCGTGCAAATCACGGATGACTCATAGTTACATGAATTGTGTCTCCTCCTCGTCGTGTGCCTCCACATCGACGCAGCGTCAATTCGATGCTTGTACCGAAAATGTGGTATACCGGTCGTATGATATAATTTGTGGTTAAAATAGGTGATATTGAATAAATATTTTTAAAAGATGTAAAATTCATTTTGGAAATAAAATATGATAATTTTTATGTGTGCTAGTATTCATTCTTATACCCTGACACCCATTTGTAGTTTGAGCTGTGGGTAAAATATATTCATTCTTCTTTGTGCTAGTACTCAGTAATTAAAGTTCAAGTAAATTACAAAATTGCTATGTTATACAAGAAGTACAGTACAGCTGGTTGTTAGTTAAAACTTTATTAAGAGCGAATGGGGGCACTTACCTCCAATGAATTTTAAATTTTTTAAAAGTACCCTAATTTTTTTAAAAAATATTAGTTATGCCCTCAATTAAAAATAAAATGCCCCCATTAAAATATGGAAATACCTCCAGCTCAATAAAGAGAAATTTTATGTTGAAAATAAAATATTAGTAATTAAAATAAAAACAAGTAAAAGCAAAATATTACATATAACAAGAATATAATTTGAAAATATTGTTAGAAAATTATAATAACAACAATTATGATAATATTAGTTATGGAAATATTTGTATTTTAGTCACCTTTATTATTGATTCTTATTTCTAGTTGGCTTATAATCTCATCTATATACACTCTCCCATGTATTTCTTTAATCTTTGAGTAATACAATAATTCCATTATTCTAAAGTATCTCTTCTCACAAACCTAACCTCCCTTGTTCTACAACGATACGCCCCCGCCGGTCTTTTTCATCGACAATCAACCACCACAGATCATGGCATCGTCGCCCCTTATTCCTCTCTCTTTAACTTGATAGAAAAAATTTAAGTTCGTGCCTAACAGTCGCCACTAATATTGGCTAACGTGCATAATAGTCGTCATCCATATTATCCATCTCTTTTTCCAAAAAAAATAGTGGATGAAGGCAAAATGGAGAAGCAGAGGATGTCCAAAACGGAGAAAAAAACAGAAACACCTCACCCTCGCTCCAATCGCCAACATTATCCGCCAGAAAAAAACTCAACACATGCACTCTCAAGCATGTTCGTCACACAACGAAAATTGTCTCTATACTTCTAGCACACTTATTCATGAAGGCAGTATCTTCTTCGTGGTTTCAAGTTCTTGACTTCCACTCGTGACACGAGATCAGCTTGAAGGGTGTTAGACCATTATAGTAATAACAATTATGGTAATATTTTTATTTTAATCAGCTTCTATTATTAATTCTTATTCCTAGTTGGGTTATAATCTCTTCTATATACACTCTACTATGTACTTAAGGGAACATCTTTTGGAGAAAGCAAAAAAGGAAAGGAGAAGATCTTTTAGGGACGGAGGGAATACTTCATTATTCCTTGAAGAATACAATTATTTCATCATTCAATAAGGGCATGTTCTTTAGGAATGGAAAAAAAGAGCTAGATGTTGGAAGAAACTGGAAAGAACTGGAAAGAAATGGAAGAAACTGGAAAAAACTAGAAGAAACTGGAAAAAACTGGAAAAAACTAAAGAAACTGAAAAAACTTCAAAAAATTGGAAAACCTAAAAAAAACTTTAAAAATATTTATTTTAAATTCTTTTTGTTATAAATTATTATTATTATTATTATCATCATCATCATCATCATCACGTTATCTTAATGAATGCCTTTAAGATACAAAAAAAGTATTGTTATTTTTTAAATACAAAAAACTACTTTTGTAAAAAAATATTAATTATAATATAAAGTTAGCATAAATATAAAAATATTAAATTTTAAAAACTCTTTTTTTTTATATTGCACCTCAATTTATTTATGCAGTATTTATTATAAATAATATATTTGTAATTATAATTTATATAATATAAGATTTTGTTTTAAATATCAGACATGTCACATAATGTAATCAAACATATTGATTCTTTCATGATTGACATTTTATTTGCATTGAAGTCCTATTTTTGGAATAAAGACATAGAATTTTTTTATACATTTTTTATGTTTTACTCCTATTTTAGTCTTTTTCTATAAACTATTTTGACTTACAATTTTTTATAAAACATAGAAAAATAATCAAATTTTAAGTAATAAGTTAAAAGGAAAGCTAAGAGGTTTTATATAATGTTAGATTAATAAAGCATTCCTCCTTTTTTAAATCTTTCCTCTTTTTATTTCTATGCTTTAAAAGGTTATGAAATCAGCGTTTCAAGACAAATAAATCTAACCTCCTTTGATTTTTAATAATAATAATAGTATCAAAATTCAATCATTCATTCTTTTTAATACTTTTTTTAAAACACTCGTCATTTTAATATGTTAAACCGTAATTAAGAAGTCACTTGGGCGGGAAAACGATGGGTAGATGTTTCCCCTTCTTTTCAGAATAGGAAGATGCATGTGGTGGAGAAAATTTATGTATTACACAATTGAAAAACATTATATTTCATTATATGGTGTACTTATTTACTTTTTTAATAATACCAATATAAATTTATAACGTTAATACGAACCGTGCAATGCACGGGGTGTGATACTAGTTTTATTTGCATTGAAGTCCTATTTTTGGAATAAAGACAGAGAATTTTTTTATACATTTTTTATGTTTTACTTCTATTTTAGTCTTTTTCTATAAACTATTTCGACTTACAATTTTTTTATAAAACATAGACAAATAATCAAATTTTAAGTAATAAATTAAAAGGAAAGCTGAGAGGTTTTATATAATGTTAGATTAATAAAACATTCAATGCAACTATTTTATCTATAATTTTTTAATATAATTTAACATATTGATGTTTTCCTGTTTTATCATGTAGACATATATATAAAAAAAATTGTCTTATTCATATGAAAAAGTTGAAGAAAAACATAATGAGTGTGAATCGTAAAAATAGTGAGATGAAAAAAATAATTTATAAACTATAGTTATGAACATAATAATTGTAATAATAATAATAATAATAATAATAATAATCACATTAAAATATATCGTTTTTAGATTAATTGGTTGAGGAGTAGAATGAGTTTGAAGAAAATGAGAATAGTTGGAAGAAATTGGAAGAAACTAAAAGAAACTAGAAAAACTAGAAGATGTTTGAAAGAACTGGAAAAAACTAGAAGTTAAGAGTACTCATTTTAAGGAGTACTCAAACCATGGGGTCAACACTGTTTTTCGCGCCCAACATTAATTACGAACAATTTCGTACATGGCAACTTTACTATAAGTAAGGAGCTTGCTAGGAGAATATCGCCATCCCTCTAGTAACCTGCAGCTAGCTTGAGATCCGATATATATATATATATATGTATACATACATAGTGATTCTACCTTAAACCTTGCTAGCTAGAAGCTAGCTATTCTATATAGTTTCTCGACCAACCACGTCACTAACAAGCTGCTAGCTAGCTAGTGTTTAAATAAAATGATTATTGACATAAAGAAATATTTGAAGGTAGCGCCGGGCACCCCATTCTCAAAGGTGGGGCTGCCCTCCCTTCACCTGCTAGCCATGTACGCCCCATTTTGTTTCAGTTGGGATGCCGTTGTGCTTTGGTTTGTGCTCTACATTATCACCGGCATAGGAATGACGGTCTCTTATCATAGGAATTTGTGCCACAAGAGTTTCAAGCTCCCCAAATGGCTTGAGTACATGCTTTCCTATTTTGGTGTTCTTGCTTTGCAGGTTTATATATAATGATTTAACTCACTCTACATACTTACTTCTTCCTTTCAAAAAAGAAAAAAAAAACTCGATCTACTTACTTCTTTATCCCCAACCTTAATTTTCGACCCATCGTCCGCACACGAACACTATGTTTGGTTCTGGGATTTCATAGGAAAACAAAGAAAGAAAATAGTTTTCTCTCATTTTATGTTTTTATTTTCTTTTCCTTCCACTCTTTTTACTCCGTACGGAGTATTTTCTAATCAAACAAGAAAAATTCTCAAAACTAAACATAGTGCAATGTTGTCTTCTGTTCTACGTTAGAAACGAAGTATGTACCATCCACGATTTCAAACCCATGGTATATATTCAGCGTAAGGTCGTAATTATTCAGTTTTGGTTTCAAACGAGGAGTTTAATTATTAGAATTAAGTATGCCATTACCACCTTGAATATATCATCCCAAGAAGTTTACTACTCCATAATTATGAAGGCATTGGATAGTACGTCATATTATGAATAATTATGAAGGCATTGGATAGTACGTCATATTACCATTCTTTTCTTCAGACAAAATAAGTATTCCCTCTCTTAACTAAAACAGTTCATCTTTCATTTTTTTCTCTTTTACGAGAACATTTTCATTTTCAATTAAAACTCACTTTTACCCCTATTAATTCTTAACTTAGTTACCACGTTATACTTTTCCACTAATAATCCAACCATCAAATCTTATTTTTACTAATTATATCAAGGACAAAATTCGATACTACACTACTTATGTACTGTCATTAATCAAAATAGGAACCATTATCGTAAACAGGGGAGTACAAATTTAGAAATAAGAAGTGGTCTTGTTTGGAGGCCGGAAACATTTATTCACGTGCTAGTTGACCAATCAGGGCCGATCCAAGAGTGGGCCAAGGTGAACTAGCTGTTCATATCTATTTTTTGGGGGACTAGCATTTTTAATTTGTTTGGGCCAAAGTCTCTTTTTTTTGTCTCGTCTAGGACCATCGTACCTCGGGTCGACCCTCCGCCCCATATTTTGACTTGTCATTATAAATAGCTAGCTTTAATAGTATACTTCTCGTACCATTAATACTTATACTTCTCGTACACTTGCTGATGAATTTCTTAATGTATAACACTTATATAGGGGGACCCGATTGGTTGGGTGAGCACCCATAGACACCACCACAAGTACACTGATTCATTGAAAGATCCTCACAGCCCCAACGATGGTTTTTGGTTCAGTCACATGGGATGGATCTACGACACCAAAAACGCTGACGAAAGGGTGCGTAGAAATTATATTCAATTTCTTATTCAAAGTGCTAGTAATATGCAATTACAATAATGCACAATTTTCATTTAATTGACGTTATATATTACAGTATTTTTTAAATCTGGGTACGTAATTCATTGTTAATACTCCACTCCAATGACTTGTTTTGTGCAGAGTAGAAAGGCATCAAATGTAGGAGACTTGGAGAGCCAGGCCTTCTATATCTTCATCCGAAAGACCTACCTTCTCCATCATATTCTATTTGGGGCTCTCCTATTCTCCATTGGAGGATTCCCTTACATTGTTTGGGGCATGGTATATATATATATATATATATATATATACACACACACACACACACATTATAAATATTTTCCTTTTACCCGATACTCTGTGCATTGTGTTTGTGTATTGGAATTTGGAATCGATTTTATTTACTAATAATAACAGGGAGTAAGGATTGTATGGGGGTTCCATGTAACATTTCTTGTGAATTCTGCGTGTCACATTTGGGGAAGCCAAGCATGGAACACCAGCGACTTATCCAGAAACAATTGGTTTGTCCAATTAATTACTTTATCAATTATTCTAGTTTTTTTTTTTACAATTAAATCATTTCACAATGCTCCGTAAGATTAAAGTATCTTTGAACATTTTAATCATATGATAAAATAAATTAAAAATAATTTCAGTCAAACAGACTAAATCAAAATAGAGCAAAATTAAACTTTTTATAAAATTGTAAACCAAATGAGAGTATTTTATATATATATATATATATATATATATATATATGAGATGGAGTCATAAATGAAAGAAATGGGCGCGCAGGATGGTGGCGCTGGTGACATTCGGGGAAGGGTGGCACAACAACCACCACGCCTTTGAGTACTCGGCGAGGCATGGGCTGGAGTGGTGGCAGCTCGACACGGCTTGGTGCACTATTTGGGTCCTCCACAAGTTAGGGCTGGCTACAAGTGTGAAGCTCCCCACAGATGCCCACAAGGCAAAGATGGCTTTCAATCATAATAATAATAATAATAATAATAATAATAATAATAATAATAATAATAATAATAATAATAATAATAATAATAATAATAATAATAATAATAATAATAATAATAAATAAAGAGGCCTCAACAATGTCTTTCAGCACTGCCCTTCCTCCTCGTCCTCTCATCGTGAAGTAGACTGTGTGGCATACGTATTAAATAATAATTGTACGTGCTTTTAATTGGTTTGCACGGGCTGGCTGGCTAGTTATAGTATCGTACGTGCATGGCAGTTATAATTATTGTACGTGACATTGGGAGGATTATATTACCGCGTCTCCCACATATGTCGTCCCACTTCCCATCTTCAATTCTTACTTTTCACTCCTCGGATGCGTTAATAAATGTCTTTGTTAAATATAACAGATATATTATATATTCTCATTATTTAGAAGACCGTGTTACTTTACTTACTTTGACTTTATCTCTTCACATGTATAAATAAACACTCCAACTTATGATGAATGAATTACCGAATTCACAACACATTATCAGTACGAATAGCTCTCAACTCTAATTTTTTTGATGAATTTACTTAAATAGCACTAAATTAAAACATAATGATTTTTTCTAAATAGCATCATATGTGTTTTTTTCCCAATGTAGCACTTTTAGTCATTATCCATTGGTCATTATTCAAGTAAATATTCGCATCACTAGGCACTATGGACATTATTAAGTGCTATTTAGAGAATAAAAATACAATTTAAGTGTTATTTAGGGAAATGACTTAAGTTTTAGTGTTGTTTAATGCAAATATTTCAATGTTTTTTTCCCGTCCAACAAACATCCGTCTGTGATCTTCTTCTTTAATACGTCTCGCATAGAGAGAAGAAAGAAGGACCAACCATTCCAAGCAGTGGCGGAGCCAGGTATTAGGGAGAGTGGGGTCAAAGTGTAAATAAAAAAATTACAAGGAATAGATTATTAAAAATATAACAACTCAGGAGGGGGAGTTTGAACTCAAGTTTGGTGGTCTGATTTGCATGTCATGAACAAAGTCAGCTAGGCCAAATAGTAATTAAAGTAATACATATATACTTACCCCATTTCAGTGGGTGCAACTGCACCCACTTGACCCAAGTTCCATATCATCTTCTTCAAGAAATTCCAGATCTCCATAGTCTAGGTATCCCAAATTTATGAGGTTCAAACCATTTTAAACTCAAATATGGTACGGTCTACATCTATATACAACAACAACAACCCAGTTGAATCCCACTACAGTAGGGTCTGGGGAGGGTGTGTGTACGCAGACATTGTCCCTACTCGGAAGTACGTAGGGAGACTGTTTCCACAAAAATATATATATATATATACAGGTGTAGTGTACCCCAAATGTACACCACATGCCTTTTTACCATTCATTTTATTTTATTTTTATTTTTTATTTTTATTTTTTTTTTGAATTTTACATGCCTTTTTTTGTGGTTATAGAGGGGGTGGGGGATATTTGGAGTACATTTTTGGTGTATCTCTAACATTTTCCTTCATAAAAACCAAACAAGTTATCAATGAGACTCGATGTTTGTTTACGGGACTCAATGTTTGTTTGGTCAAATACGGAGTAATACCACCACATAATATGATTACTACTTTTACTGTCACAATTTAAATTACTTATTTACTATTCACAAGGTCAAAATTTAATCACAATCTTTATCAATTTTCGCTACCTATCCGTTAAAATAACACTTTTATTACCTCTAATTTTGTAAATCTTTTGAAATAGTTTTTAAATATATACTCCGTAAATATTATTTATTTAGTTTCACACCAATTTTCAAAGTTCAAATGAATTAAATTAACAATATTTTCAATCAAACCTCATAAATACAAACAGATGATTTAAATTAAGGAGGGAGTAACAAACCGTGTAAAATGAAAATACATGATGCCAATAATGCCAGATTAACAGGGAGCGTTGCACATGACAATGTTATGGAAGGTATAGGACTTGTCCCACATCGGTTGTATGGGCAATTGATGTGGGGTTTATAGGCCAAATGGGTTCCCTCACCTATCAGACTAGTCTTTTGGGTTGAGTTCTTCCGTTTGGTCTGTAACAGACAAAATAAAAGAAAGGAAGTAGATGTATATAATTTGAAAGCAAAATGACATCTCAATCAATCATGGGATATAAAGGTTTGGGACTGCACTGCTGTAGAGAAACGAAAGCGCAAAAAAAAACATATTTTCGTTGTATACAAACTATGAAAACTATTAAAGGAATGAATAAGGAAAACAGAGGGAAAAGAATGCAGGTGTAGGGAAACAGGGAGAAAACCCAAATCTGTAACATTGCGCAAACACCGGCGAACCAATTTACAAAACACCTGTTGTTGGCTACAACTAACCCAGAAAACAGAGATTGGTATCAATGGTATTATTGGGTGTGCATTAAAAGGCTTTCCAACCATCAGAGGAATCTCTTCTTGGTGTTTCACTGTCAAGAGAAGCTTTGAATGGCTGCCCGGTCGATCCAAATGCATCATCATCAAAGGATGAGAATCCACCCCCCTTACCGTAATCCAGTGAGTCCCTATGCATGGTGGAATCAAACCTGGCCAGTGTCTCTTGAGGTGCGGCACCAAAGGTATATTCAGAATCTGCTGTGCTGCGGAAGGAGTCAAACCTTGCTAGGGAAGGACTATCACGTGATGATGAGAACAAATCATGTCCATAGTAGTCTGTGTCCCCCCTACTACTACTCATGGAATCAAACCTTGCAAAGGCTGGTCCTTCAGATTTGAAGGAGTCAAACCTAGAGAAGCCTCTCGAGCGGTCTGGAGAATTATTATAACTGTACATGGGTGTGCTTGGAACAGAATCATCAAAGAAAGAGCTCTTCTTTGAGGATGGATTCTCTGTGTATGAAGAAAACCCGGCAGCATTATACGTTGGAGTACTAGGAACAGAATCAAAGAACACGCTTTGCTTCGAGAATGCATGTTGTATTCCAGAATCATGACTTGGAGTACTGGGGACCGAATCAAAGAACGGGCTTTGTTTTGGAAACAGATCACCTGCACCCAAAGGCCCGATGTTGTAACTTGGAGTGCTAGGGACCGAATCAAAAAATGGACTTTGTCGTGGGAAAGGATCGCCGGAACCCATAGGTCCAATATTGTAACTTGGGGTACTAGGAACTGAATCAAAGATTGGGCTTTGTTTGCCCAATGGGCCAATATTGTAACTTGGAGTGCCTGGAACCGAATCAAAATATGGGCTTTGCTTGGGGAGTGCATCATCTGTGTGTTTGGATCCAGTTTTTATAGGGGCTAGGCTCCAGTCATCAGAACCAAAAAGAGAGAGTTCCTTATGCCTCTCATGATCAGCATCCTGAAAAATTGATGAGATCGGAGTTTAAAGGGAAAAGGGTACTGTTTTGAACTTCCAAACAAGAATGATGCAAGGGATATACTGTACATCCAAATTACAACCATGACTTTCCACATCAGCATTGTTAAGAACGCATTTATTTTAGAATTCTTGAAATATATGTGCATACCTTGCTAGAAATGGAGTTGATATCAAATGCATCATAGTGAGTGTCAGACGCACCCCAGCCTGAATCAGCAAACCTTTTATCCTCAGACAACACAGATTCAACACCGCCATGTTCACTTCACCAGTAAAAAAAGAGGGAAGTTCAGACTCTAGATAAGGATGCAATAAACTTTTCATTCTGCCTCAAAGTTCAGATTCCATTATGATGCAACAGAACCTTTGATGTATTTTTTTTTCAAAATGCCACAAATAAATTAGGTAAATTGAATTTAGTTAAACCAACGACAACAATGAAAAGCCCGGTAAAATCCCAAAATCTGGGGTCAGGAGAAGGTGTGCATAGACCTTACCCCTACTTAAAAGGTAGAAATGGTTATATTTAGTTAAATTAGAATACAAAATTTAAAATAAAATAACAATCGATTTTATTCTAATTATCTAAAAAGTTGTGCCTGAATAAAATTTAAAGGTTGTACTATGATGAAACAGAGACATAAGTAGTGATAAAATTATGTTCAACTTATTGTTGGCTGGTGAAGGAAATATGAAAGAGACATCTGAAAGAATTAGAAAGAAAGCAATGTTACCTTTGTGTCGCATGGGGTGAACCATCAAAGCTTTTTTCCTTTGTAGGTGATTCACTGTATTCCCTTGAGGAGTCCCTTGTGTGTATACTCTTTGATGGACTTTTTTCCCCTCTTTGCTCACCACCAAAGGCAGATTCTTTGTCGTCCATTGCTTCCATTTTCTGAGGGCTTGACAACTTCTTGGACATTGCACCAGCTTGATAGTGTGATTTTCCTGCTCCACTGTAATTGGAATGTGTCTTATCACGTATCACAGAAGACTTCAGTTTAGGAGGAGCTATGACATTTGGCACGTCGAGTGTGAGCTCTTTCACCAATGTGAATCCTTAAGTCCATACCAGTTGATAGCGGGATTAGAAAGAGCCAGCAACAACAAACAAAAGACAGATGATATTTAATTATTACAAGTGCCTCTTTAGAAGAAACATGTTCCCCCAGTAAGAAGTAGCACTTTCAAATATCGAGATATCATTAATTGCTCATTTCCCTACATTGCCCTCCTCCATCGTTAAAATAAGTGACAATGATAGCGTGTTCTTTAGAGATATTTTTGATAACTCACAATAATTTGTTTACAAAATATAGTTAATAGACAATTACTCCCTCCATCCCAAAATGAAATTTACCCTTTGACTTCTTAGAGTTTAAAAAAGTATTGAAAAGTGAGCAGTTTGTTGAAATTCATTTCAAAGATAGATAATAATAGCCACATATTCATTTCCTAAAAGGGAAAGTGAAAAGTGTAAACTTCATTTTGGGCCATTCAAAAAAACAGGTATAAACTTCATTTTGGGACACAGATGGAGTAATACCGGATGCCTTAAAGAGGAAAAGTAAACAACTAAATTCAAACGGAGGGAGTATTTATTTGAGGCAATCTAGTCACATTATAATATATTTATCTTGAATTTAGAAAACTTTATTGTTTCCATAAAATGTGTGCAAAAGTCTACACCAACACTTGAGATAAAAGGGAGTATTGGAAAGGATCAAATGCCCTTAAATTCAATGGGAACTTTCCAGTACACACTTTCATCAAAGGAATTAGAGTTGTCGTACTAAAATGGGGTAATACCCTAAAACTCAGAGGCGCCTTTTTCAAACAATACATACCTTCATCTTCAAATTTATCCCAATCTTCATCCCAGTCTGCTGCTCCCTCTTGGATGCCAGGTTGCCAACCTTCAGAAATGTTCAGCATTAAAGCCCACAGCAAGTTCATAGAATATGGGAAAAAATAATAACATGGAAGGAATATAATG